TAAGGGGTATGTTCCGGCGGTTGGGTGGTACAATCCTTGAAACACTCTTCAGGGTTCCTTCTGGTTCCAGCCTAACATTACCCCGCCAAAAGGAGACCCATTTAAAGCTCAGTCTTTTGACCACGAATATGTTGCACCCCAAGCCACAAAACAAAATCCGGTAAAGGAGTCGTGAAGACGTCAATCGCTCCAAAGCACAGGACACAGCCAAACGAGGGAGTGCTCACAATTCTTTGTTGCGTGTTCGATTTTGTCTGCGCAAAGGGACTTTATCCAGATGTTGATACACCGCCAAATTAAGTAAAACACGGTCACGGCGAAAAATGGACTTCTCAACTGGGTAACCTAGTTTGCTTGCAATAGGCTTCCTCTTTTGCAGTGCCCTTATGTGCTGACCTCCTCAACAGAGTGGCACAATCCTGAAACAGAGAACCCCTTCCGAAGGGCATTCCTCTAGCAACTTAGCATACCTAATTCTGGCTCGGTTGTTGACCCCTTTTGCAACAGCTAAGCGTGTGCGGCAACTGACCAGCTCCAATCGGTAGCCCCAAAAAAGACACACTTACATGCACCTAAATGACAGCTGTTCGTCGCTAGGGCTGTCCCTTGCTAAAGTCTTGTGATCTCCCCGGCACTGCGACAGGCTCGAAATTCGGCTCAGTTCGCAGTCCCCACCTGCACGCGCGCACCAAGTCAAACAGGCCACATCAATGCTGCCTCAACCCAAAACAGGTGCCAAGGAAAAGGACACAACTCGCATGGTCTTAGGCCCCTTCCCCAGCCTCGAACTTCCGTGAGAGGCCAAAGACGCGGCTTCGGCGTCGCTCAGCGAGGGCCGAGATGCGTGCCTGTAAGCGAGAGCCAAGATGCACCCATGCACTCAGTCGAGGGTGTAAGAAGGGTTGGACCAAATGACTATTCCCTGTAAAAGACATGCTTTCTTGTATCCAAAGGCATCTGGTGCTTGCATGCCCCAGGGCGTCCAGGTGGCCAAGGCGAGGAAGCCTTTCCAGAAACCCGACAGAGCTTGGGAAAGTGAGTGGCAGAAATCACCTTCATTTGGTTCGCATGAGCCAAAAGCAGGTTACTTTAACAGGAGTTGGCACGCCGCGAGATTGCACAGCATCGCAACACTTTGCTCAAAGCCCTGCTACATTTTGCAAACCCTCGCACATGGGCAAAAATGATGATCTGTTCGCAGTGGCCAGGATGTTGGCACATCTTGGAGTGACCTCCGGAACGGGCACACGTGGCAGTGGTTCAACTCTCATGAACACATGGCACACACACACACACATTCCGGTGAAACCACCAGCCTACTCCAAATTTAGCTTCGTTTTTTGCTTTTTTGACAGGCATAATGTTAACCCCCCAAAGCAGGGTTTACTTTTAGAACACCTGGTTTTCCCAACTGTACCGACCATATCCTAGAAGCACTGGGTGACAAGAGCATTTGGAGGGCGGGATGAACCCTCTCACTAACAGTCCTCGAACCAACACCGCGGAACCAACCCACCTTGTAAGGGTCACAACTTACCTGAGGCCTGAGGCCTGTCACTTGCAACGGATTGGACCTCTCACAAAAATCTGACTCAAGGCTTGACTTTGACCTGCGCAAGTCTTTCTGAGAGGCACCCGGATCACTGTCGGACACTTCAGTCATGATCAAACCTGGCATGAAACTGGGCCACCCTCAGATCTCCCGTTAAACGTTTAACTTTTAGTGGACTATATGGACTACTACCACTAAAACCCAGGAAGCTAAAAAGCTAAGGGGATGGCTGGGGTCCACCCAAACCAATGTATCGATGGTGGCTCAGGTGATCCTGACCAAAAGTCAGTGGTCCAAACAAATCAAATAATAGGTGACCTAGTGGCCGGGTGGTTCTTCATAAAAACTGAATGCCATTTGCAGGTTCAACGGGAAATCTGACATCCCATTGGGTCAAAACCATCTAGAAGTAATTGGCTTTGTTGACGACCAGCCGTGGTCAAGGCTTGCCCCGAGCTCTTCTTGCGGAAAGATCGACTTGCGACGAAACCCAAACCGGCTGAGGACGGCACCTTCCGGGTCTCATGAAGCCAGGAGCATGGCAGCTCTGAAGCAATTTACAGGGTACATTGTTTGGGGGGGTGCGTTGAAAAGCTCGGCCCTGATTGCACAACCATCTTCACTTTTCGCGAGAAGCTTGCGTCAACAAGCCAAACTTACAAAGCCAGTGCCGAGTGAAATTGGAGCGGCAACCGTTTTAGATGCACCGTCTCCTTGCACCCCCTGGTGAAACGCAGCCCACGCAGCGCGCGTATGGCTTCAAACATCTGGGTGCCAAAGAACCGTTTGTTGGACAAGACCAAACACCGTTCCCATTTATTTTTTTCCCGGGAGACCCCAAGCAAAGACTGTGAATGGGTCTGAATGGGCTGTTGTGGGCTTGAAAAGGGCAGACATGGCATATCGATATAAAGTGTCTCTGGAATAGGGCAAACACAATTCAAACATGTATGTGAAGTCCCGAATCACATATACATTTAGCTTTTGCCCAACACATCAAAAAATGCTCCGCCCTCGCCAACCAAACATCACCCAGCACGCTGAGTTGTTCATAAAGCAAACGTGCGGTCGGGCATCAAACACTGCACTTCCTGTCTCTTGAGACTTGGGGCCATCAAAAGCCTCCGGCCACGAAACTGGCCACGAAACTCTGCAGTACACGCTCACCTTAGAGTCTTCGGAGTTTAGGGGCTCATGTCATAGGTCATGAGTGATCAAGTTCCAGGAGTTTATTGGCAGTCTCCCAACTTTATGTGACATTTCCCGGACTTACCAACCGTGTTCCTCAAAAAACAGCCTTCAGAACGGCTCGGATGGCACCCAGCGGGTGCCAAGAGATTTATCACAGATCCACTGGACCGATGCAGATCGCCGTCCTCGTATTGAGCTCGGCGAGATCACTTCGCCTGAGACGGAGCCCCAGAAATGAACAGTTTCCCTTTTAAAACACGTCTCAAAAGAGACACACCCATGGTCCACTCCAGGTGAAGTCTGTTACAACCTCCTGCGGACGAGAACTACAACACCTTGGGGATGATGGTTCGGCCGGAATGTTCGACCCCCGTCCGCTTAGCCGATATCTGCTTGAATTACTATTCGCCATGCAGTCTTCATTGCGCTCCGTTTCCCTTGAACAAAAGCGTCTCATAACCTATGTAAGGAGTCTTCAGCTCCTCGTCCTTGAGCAAAAGCGGCTTCCTCATCGACTATCATTCACCAACTTGACAGAATCAATTTCATAGGACCCTTCACGGGTGAAAAAGGGTGGCAGACCAACCCAGGCCGTTCGCTTGAATTTACGACCAGTTCTCCCATTTGGCCATGGGTCAAAATCCCGTACCCCCAGTGAACATCCCAATCCCCACTAAAAAATAGGTTCTAAAATGGGGTGGTGAATTCAGCTACCAACCAAAATGAGATCCCAAAACGGTTTTGACAACCACAGCCGCCTACCTCAGCCCCTTGCCTTGCCCTGGTTCGCCACACCCTCGATCTTGGCCTTCACCGCGGCCTCGTCCAACAAGTAGTACCTGAATCGACTCGCTCACGACCCTCTCATCGTGCTCGGTGCGTAAAACACATGCGATCAGCGCGCACAGCAGGATACATGAGTTTGTCTCAAAATAGGGGAATCCCAAACATGGTGGTGTCCCTTGATTTCCCTGCGATCAATGCAAGCTTTGAAGGGCCACTTCTGAGATACAAACAAACACAATGCTGCAAAGGTTTTGGACAGCTGGACAAGTGGAACATCAGAACGTGGACCAACTGCTGTGAGCCGTTTTGTGCTATTTACATCAGAAGGTATACTCTCACCCTCTAGATACTCGCTGGGAGCCGTTGCAACTGGAGTTTGGTCACTCCAACAATACCCCCTTGCTTGACCCAGCTCCCACACGTGGAAGCTGAGGCACTTCTGCAAGACCTTCAAATTTGCATCCAACTCGTAGACCAGCGGAACCCCCGTGGGGATGTTGAAGTCCATGACCTTGGACGCGCGACAAAACGAGCCATGGGAATGCTTGGGAATGCTTGGGACACTTGGGACACTTGGGAACACTCGGAACAATCCTCATGGAAAGAGACAGCTCAAAATCTGCAGAAAAACTCGCCAAGCACACATCAGAAGTAGTTGTTTCACATGTCCGGAAGCACTTCCTAGGCACAACATCGCGCAATGTCGATGCCTTCTATTTCCAAGTGAATCCCAAGCAACTCTTAGGACCCCCTGGTCTTTGCCATGCCTGCCATATGAGTCATGATCAAAACCTGGCACGACAAATGGTGCACCCAGAACCGTGCAAAGAATTGACAAGGCGGCTGCACCCATTTGTGGTTGGGATTGTCCCCTTACTAACCTTCATCTACCCGGGTTTTGAGCAAGTGGCTCAAATGCCCATTTTCAGCTCGGCTGGGCTTCGTGTTTCTGAGCGCAGGGCATCGCTCTCTGTCATGCCCTGCCACGGACAAGCCAAGAGCGTGGCTGATTCCCCAAAGACTAGAAGGCACCAAGCGAAAGGCCGTGGATTTGCCATGGTGAGCGGTTGGCGGCTTGATACCTACTAGGTGCTCCAGTAGAGAGGTTAGAATAAGCCCTTTCTCTGCAGTCTATTTTAGTAGGGGAGCCCTCCCCCAAAAAAGAGTAAAAAGGGCACTACTGGGGGACCTAGTCCGCGGAAAAGGCCGCCTTCCACAGGTGTTGGTGACTGTCTCGGCCGGTCAAAGTGACTCACACTCAATGCACGACTCCGCGTCTACCTCAATCCCCCATCCTTATTGTTAAGGTTTTGCGGGCGGCCTCCCAAATCGAAAGCTTGGGAAGCTAAGTCAGACGCCATCGCACACGAGCGTTTTTCTGACAAGTCGGAAAACAAACCGGTTGAGTGATACTCTCACGCGCCGCTCTGTCTTCTTGCTGGTTGCTGGTGAGTCGACAACACAGGGTATGTCAAAGAATCAAAGGTACAACCGATATGTCGGTGGTTCCTGAATCAAAATAGGCGAAACTTGACGGACCATGTGACAGCGAAACGAGGCAACCCTCACCGAATCGCATGTATGGAGGTCTTCCCCCCGTGTTTAAGGGAATTGAAGCCCCGTCATCTGAAAAAAGCAGGTCGCCACTTTTCAAGTGAACGGGTGCGCGACCAAATTTTGGGGAGACCCCGTTCGCATCTGTGAACCACGCCTCAAGGTATTTGCAAATCGCCCGCAATGAGTTACCATGGGCGGCCACCAGCACGTTCTTGCCAGCCATAACCTCAGTCAAACATTTTCCCCCTTCAACGCAGGTAAACTCTTTCAACATCGCACAAGTTCCATGCTCGAAATCAGAGGAGTCAATAGAGGAGCCCCCCTGCGTGTCTGGTTGGAAGAGCAGGGATGAGGCAAACATCGGCATCCTGGCTGCGCAGTGAACTCTCCACTTCGCAAATGGTACCCCAAGTCATCTTGCTTTCCCCAGCGCCCGCTTGGTTCCTGCGAAAGGAGGCCTCACAAGGGTTCCCTCAATTCCCACACCAGCTCCACCCGAGAAACAAGGCGCCTAAGACTGGCAGACCTTCCTTTTCTGTTCAGATTCTAGAAAACATGGTGGGGAGCAAAAGGACATCATTCAGCTTCCATCCCTATCTTTGAGCAACACCTACGAATCGGCGCAGTTTGGATCCGAGGATCGGAGGTGGGCGATGTAGTGAACCGGCGCTGACACTCTCCCTGAAAAACGCTAAAACAGGGACTCTGCACAAGGAACTGTCCAGTTCCATGCCTCCCGGTGCCACGTTTTTGGCTTTGTGAATGGGGGAGTTCGCACCATGCCCAATGTAAGGTGTGTGCCACCTGGGCTATGGCCACGCGTCCTGAAAGAGGCGTGGTGCAAAGACCCGCAGAGCAAGGCCAGCAAAATCTGCAAGTCTGCAAAGGGAACGCCAAAGGACACCAAAAACCAACGGGGGCAGACCAAAGAACCGAAGGCAACCCCAAGGACCCAAGTAACAACAGCTGAAGAGCCAAAGGAAAGCTTGTGATTGCCGAATTTGATAAAATGCTAGCGGGTTGGTGGACGCGGAGTGCCCTAGCTGCATCCCCAACTGACCTTACGGCACGAACCTCTCCCGTTGGCTTCCTTTCTGAACACATGCTCCATTTGATACTGGCAACCAGCAGTTTTCTCCAGGCGACGATGGCGCCGATGCACCCCATAGTTGTGTGTCGCCCAATCTCTCCCTCAAATTGACCATGGACTAGTAGATATCTTGCCCGAACCTGTCATATCAAAAAACACATAAAACATCCTGGAATCCAAACGAAAACCAAAAAGGTGCCACTCCGTCCCCCTAGGGAGCCGGGCGCACGGAGCGATGGTGTCATTCCAGAAGGGCATCACCTCGGCAATGCGGAACACGTGCACTTTTCTCGGTTCGAACTGATCACCAGCCCTTTTCCTTTGGGTGGCTTGGATTGATAGTTTCAAGGTTGGGGAGATAGTTTCTTCAATGGCAGCCAGGGCGTCGAATTCCCAAAATGAACTGACGCCAGAAAGGGACATCACCCAAGTCGTGTTTAAAGAGCACCATTCAAAGCCCGGAGAGGAATCAGACTCCAACAAGCACCTGACTGGCAACCTTCGCTGAGCGGTCCTACATCGCCTGACATGCCTAAACCAAAAAGCACGCAGCAAAAGAAGCAGTTGGAGGTTACCTCAATTCTGGCAGCCAGACCAACGAAACCATAGCATCCAAACCTTCACCGGAGAGGGAAAATTCACCCGCAAATGAGGTGAACCCCATGCTGCAATCCATGCATCGATCGAGACCTGAAGAAAGGCTTCAATCACCTTCAAACCCATCACACCGAGAATTATCACCCCATGCGACTTGAGGGGCCCATGAGACTCGGGACCCATGGCCCATGTCCTCCAACGGGCGCATGCCAGGACCCTCCCCCCGTCCAAGCCAGGCCCCGCGCCCGGTCCACCGTCATGGCCAGAGACTCGGCGCCGGGCAGCGCGTTCTTCGGCACCTGCCATGGAAAAACGGCCCCCGACGAGGCGCGGGGGCTCGATTTGCCCAGCTCGAGCGGAGGTGGCTCACTAAGATGATGTAGTGTTCGGGTCTGACTTCACAGGTTGAGATTGACACCTGCGAAAAACAAAAAGAAAAAGGCTAGGTCAGGGTGAAGGTTGGCAGGAAAAGTTGACTTGAGGGATAGGGTTAGCAAAGGGGGTTGCTTCGGTTCAGCCTAGCTTCGGGTTGAGGTTGAGGTTCCGAACGGCTCAAGATTAGGCATACTGTTAGGCTTTCGGTTTGGCTAGGGTTCGGTCCAGGCTGGGTAGATGCTAACTTGTTCATACCAGGTTGGGGTTGAGGTTTGGGACGGATACGTTTTAAGATTTGGTGAAGGTGGAGGCTAGCTCGAGGTTGAGCTTCAAGCTGAAGGTGAGGCTGAACACGTAGAAGTTGGCCAACACTTTGGCTTGGTGATGCTTAGGCTCACGTTCTGCTGTTGTTTCCTGTAGCGAATCTCTTTGATTGAGTAGTTCATCTTTGCTGCTCAAGCCTCTAGTCTACGCTGCCCCCCCACAACTGGCCCCTATATGAGTTAGACTAGACCTTGCCCATCTTTTTTCTATAAAAAATCCCAGGGTCCCCCCCACACTTTTAGCAACATTTTAAAACAGCACCTCAAAAAGCACATTTTCAAAAATCAACATTTTAAAGCAGGCAATTTCCTAGTAAGTTCATCCATATTTTAAAAAATAAATTTTACAAAAAAATAAAAAATAAATTTTACAAAAAAATAAAAAATAGATTTTAAAAAATAAATTTTAAAAAATAAATTTTACAAAAAAATAAAAAATAAATTTTACAAAAAAATAAAAAATAAATTTTAAAAAATAAATTTTAAAAAATAAATTTTACAAAATTTTAAAAAAATAAATTTTACAAAAAAAATAAAAATAAATTTTCAAAAAATATTATTCCAAAAAATTATGATAAATTATTTTACAATAAATTTTATCACAAATTTTGTAGACATATTATGGGCAAGGTCTGGTTCATTCGTTTTTTTATAATTATTCAAATCTTCTTTCAAACATTTTATATTTATACAATATGTTAAAATCAACTGCATCTAATTTTTCTTTGCTACAAATCCATTTGTTGCCATTCTTTTTTATTTCGATTAACCATTCAAATTCTCTAAAGCTTAAATACCAGCAATTGGATGTCTTTTGACTGTATGAATAGTTTCCAGCATTTCTAATTATTCGTTGGTTGTTGGTTTGTTCCATATATTTTATCATTGCATGTTTTAATGGGATGTAATTTTTCGTTTCAATATTGTTTATCATTTTATGATGTTCTGTAACTTCCTTTTCTAACCGTTTTTCAGTTACAAATCCGTAACTGTCATCTTCTTCTTCTTCTTCTTCTGTTTTATTATCATTATCACTCAAAAAATCATCAATTATTTTAGTTTCCTGTTGTTCAATATAAGTTAAGAATTCATTGATAATTTCTTCCTGTTCAACCTCTGTAAATACAACCATTTGTATGATAATATATATAATTAATATTTCTTTAAGCACTTTTTACAAGAAATTAAATTAATAAATTAAAATAAATTAATAAATTAAAATTAAATTAATAAATTAAAATTAAATTAATAAAATTAAAATTATAATTAAATTATCATAATTAAATTATAATTGCTAAAATTGGATTATCATCATTAAAACTTAAATCCCGTGCAATTTTACAAACAGAACCACTGCCTGAAAATAATTCTAATAAATTCATATTATTAGAACTATTTGTATTTTAATTTTCAACAATTACATATTTACCATCATCGCCCTTAATTAGTTTATAATATTCTAATGTTTGTTCTTTTGGACTTTTGATTTGTCCCTTATTTAACATATCACAATATTTTTTACGCTTCGTGTCATAATCACCGCTGGGTCTGCCTATCCCTTTCTTTTCAAAGATCTTATCAATCTTTTCCTTCTCTTCATTGTTATTTTTTGGTTCGTTTGCCTTTGCATCAAGTTTCTGGTCAATAGTTTTTATCATCTCGTACAACAGTTTAACATTTTTACTAACTGTCATTATCTTCTTTGATAGTTCAACAATAACATCATTTTCAACTTCAGACATTTCTATATATATTTATTTATATAATTATTTATTTAAATATTTATTTATTTATAAAATTGATTTAATGTAAAATCTACTCTTTAAGTACTAAATTTTCATCATTTGTTTAATAGTTTCCTGTGCTTCGTTATCACCATTATCGGATGGCGACGCATGCCTCCCCCATTTAAAAGTTATATTATGAACATCCGTTTCCAGATTTATACTGTCTTTGGTTTTATCAATATTCATTTTCTTATCGTTTTTACTCAATTTGAAATTTGTCGGAATACACGAACATTTACAATTTCCTTTCTTTTGTATTTCTATTTCATTTTTCATTTCTAACATCTTTTTACACATAGGACACTCAAACTCGGTTAGTGCTGTTTCTTTAACAATTTCTTCTTCTTTGTCTTCATCTGTTGAAGAAACTGTAGTATCCGTTTTATTCTTTTTGTTTTTCTTTTTTCCCATTTATATTAATATTTACATTTTTATTTTTGATATATTGTATTCCTAATTTTATTAATTCTAATGTATAATAACAGCATTTCTTAATTTTATTGTCAGTTATTATTACTTGTTCTATATTCTCTACTTCATCTATTATATCAATATAATCTGAATAACTTCTATCCATATTAAATAATAAGATAAATTATTCTAATTAATCTTATTATTTTCATGCATAATAGAATATTGGTGGGGCACAGCACTTGGGTTTTCATTGCACACGCGAGCAAGACACAAAACTAATTATCTTCAATGCTTATTGATTGAAGCAATGGAAAACCTGTTCCATTATGTTATTCACCGCCACTCATAACATAATGATGTTCCATTTAATATTAATTACAAGTTAATTTTTAAATATAATTTTCTATATTTCTTTAATATCAACTATGACAGATGTCCCAATAATAAAACCAATAAACATAACTGAATATGAATTCAAACAATCTAAATATGAGCACGTGCCAAAATTACCATTTAGAAGTATTATAGTTGCGAGTTCGACGGGAGGAAAAACAGTTTTAGTTCAGAATCTTATTTTAAATGTTTATAGAAATTCATTTGCAAGAATATTTATATTTTCGCCCAGCGTTCATAATGACCCAACTTTTACAGAAGTAAAGAAATATATTAGGGATGAACTACATGTAAATGATGAAAAAGAACAAATATATTTTGATAATTATAATCCAAGTGATTTAGAAAATGTAATTGAAAGACAGAAGAAAATAATTAATTATATGAAATCTAAAAAGATAAAGAAACTACATTCAATATTAATCGTTATAGACGATCACGCCGACGATCCTAAATTTGTTAGATATAGTAAATTATTACATGGATTATTTACAAGAGGTAGGCACGATGCAGTAAGTGTAATTTGTTCAACACAAAAATATAATGTTTTAGCGCCTATCATTCGTTTAAATGCCAGTTCATTATATATTTTTAGGTTGAAAAATGCAAGTGAGTTAATGAGTTTTATTGAAGAAAATAGCGCCATTGTTGATAAACAGCAATTATTAGATATGTATCATCAAGCCGTTAATGACGCACCTTATAGTTTCTTCTACGTGAATATGAATGCTAAAGACATTAACAAAATGTTTCATATCAGATTTGAACAGGCGTTTCAAATTACGAATGATGAATAAAGATATTCTAATTTAATATAATATAATAATATGTCAATGAAACTATGTAGATGTGGTGGATTTTATCGTAGAGGTAATTATAATTTTCATACTAATTCTTGGATACATAAACTTTATAAAGTATTGAAAAGAAGGGCAACAGACGAGGAATTATTAAGATTTCAAAATAATTTTGTTGATGAAGAAGATTTAATAGATGATATATGTAGCAATGCATCAACGAAATTACCCGATAGTGAAATGACAGATTATGATAGTAATCAATAATATTAATTTGTTTTAATATTATTAATTTAAAATAATGAATAATTACATAATTGAACAGGTAATTTATATATTAATTTGTCAGATTTTTCTTTCTCTAGTTTCTCAATTCGTGCCACACATTCTTGAAGAGATTTAATAATTAAAGTGTCTGCTCGTGTTTTTTCATCTATACTTAAATTCTTAATGTCTTCCAAACTATTATTTTCATTATTTTTACTTTGACCAATACCCATTATATATAATATTATTTAGATTTTAATTTTTCAAAATTGAAATGTTGGTTTTCTTCTTCTTCTTCGTCTTCAGTTGGTGCTGGTATTTCTGTTGGACTTTCAGATGAAGAACTATGGACAGTAATAGGTGGAGAACTATGAACACTAATAGCTTCATTTGATGAATTGCTACTGCTACCTTGTGCATTTCCTGCTGTTATTTGATTGACTAAATCTGCGATATTTATAGTTGTTGCAATTGCGCTGTGCGATAAGTTTAATATGATATCTGCTACTGTAGCGCCGTTGTGTAGCATTATTTCTATCATTTTTGTCAGTTTGAACTTCTTTTCTTCTTCATCGCTGTCATCCTCATCTGGTGGTTTCTTTGGCGGTGGTTCTGGCGGTTTGTTGTTGTCGAGCATTTTAGTAAAGGCTGACACCATTGTGTCGCGTTGGTTTTTCAGTGTTTGTGTTGCTTGCGTTCTTGTTGGTTCATGTCTTTTGTATGTGTTGTGCCAAAAGTTTTTAAGCATTATTTTAAACATATTATCTTGGTTTTCCTTTACCTTAAACGCTTCAAATGTCATATTTAATTGTTGATTTGCATCATTGTATAACTTTTCTTGAGTCTCTCTGGTTTCTGTGGCGATTGTATCTGTATTGGTTGCAATGTCAATAAATTCTCTCGG